GAGAGAGAGAGAGAGAGAGAGAGAGAGAGAGAGAGAGAGAGAGAGAGAGAGAGAGACTTTAAAAAGAAATTCTTAAAGAAAGCCTATGAGAAATCCTAAGGACAAAGAAACGGAACTCGGAATGCAGACTGTCGTTGCATCTTACCGAATGTTATGCACCGATGAATAAGTCTGATTGAACGAGGAAAAAATGCACGTGGTAAGATGCACGTGTGCTCTCCGATAACGCATAAATCGGGTAAGTGTACCGGGTGTACGATTAATTCACGATCCCGTGAAATTTACACTGATTTAAATAACATTAATTTCCAACGTGCAAAATGACTCTTTAATATCCCATTTTTTGGTCGTTATCAAAAATATCTCGAAACTTTCAGATTTTCGGCGAAAGCTTGACGTCCCGGCGAGACCTACTCACGCGGAGTGCAGATACCGAGGAGAACGTGGAAGGACGCGTGGGGGCTCGAGCCGAGGAGTCGTGACCAGAATAACGCAAAGGAAGATCGAACGGGAGCAAAAGATCAGGAAGGATCGTACAGTAACTTGGTCTTTTAAATCGAACAATACCAGTCTACGATCTATATATACAGATATATAAGAATACAAGTATACAAGAGAACGTAAAGAAGAAAGTAATAAGCAGCCGATCCAATTCGACGTCACAGTGCGATCTTGACCGATTGTCTCGTGCGTGAAGATGAATCTAGAAGACTGGCGGAAAGTCCGGCAGATGATCTGCGCCAGGTGGATCGCCTCCCAAGCGGCAGGCGCACAAGAGGAAGCCGAAGAAACAGTTGTCGCGATCGTTCAATCAGCTGTTCCAGGCACAGCTGACAGGCCTGCACGTGTGAACGACGAAGACGGCCGAGCAAGGCTGACCCAGCTACTGGAATCCAGCTGCGTCCAGGTATCTCTTGGGTGCGAGAGAGAAAGAGAGAGAATGACACTTCCACGTTATTTTTCTATATCTAGGACGACACCTTCCTTCTTCCACTTGTGACACGCGAAGAGTAATAGAAACATGGCGGATCCACAGCAGACCCACGCCATGCAGTTATACCACACGTAGAAGCAGATTTATGGAAAATTTCTATAAAAGTCCAACTAACCTTCGACCACTTTAAATATATTTTATCCGTTAGCACACTCTGCAACATTTCATCACGTTCGATTATTATTGTCCGTGCGAACGATATAACCCTTGAGGACTCAGACGCTCGTGCGTCCCTCGTTAAGCGTCCCGAGTTTCAGGTGGCCGTGCTTAACGGTTTTATAGAAACGTCAAACGCGAATTCAATCAACGTCCGTTTAATTAAGCCGACTAACGAGGAGACTACGGCTACGACGCTCGGCGGCCATCTTTGACGGTTGAGCAATGGAACGCGCCGACGCGATGTAGACGATACAAACTTCAAAGTGGACTGCGAGAGCGTAACCGCAGTCAGGATTGCCAACTTCGTTGAAATTCAAACTAACAAAGAGTAAGTATACGAGTACGATCAGGACGGACGAGTTGTTTTAAGAGGATGAAAAACTAGCCGGCAGTGAATCGCAGGGTTTGCCTTGTGCCGAGGAAGAAAAAAAAAAGTCCAGAATTCCCTAGACGGTAGACGGTCTTGGCTATCGAGATAATCTTGAGGAAAGTCACGCATGTAAACAAAAAGTATAGCAAAGGCATCACGACCGACGATATTGTAACTCGACTCGTGGAATAAAGGTACTAGGGGAATTTTGACTGGTGATTTTTCCACTGTACGTATAACTCCCGCGCAAGAAACTTCCACGGTCGCTCGCAGAGACACGGTGGCGACTGACGTCTCTCGCGCGGTCGAGTCGCCATCTGAAACCATAAACAAGAACTTGGCTTCGTTGTACGACAAGATGTTGCCGAGTCTCCTGATATCTCTTTAGCTGATACTTTTTTTACTTACGAATCCACTTCCAATGGCATAGCGTCGTATATCCAGTGTCATTTATCACTATACGTTCACGGTCATCCGTAACCTTAAAGGTGCTGTCGGGATAGCAGCGATTTCGTGGCCGGTTCCGTCCACGCGGCACTTCCCGATTCGTCTTAAGCGATTCCAAGCGGGAACGAGACGCGGCGAGTAAAAAGACAACGACATGGAGAGCAAAGAGGCGCGAGAGAGAGAGAGAGAGAGAGAGAGAGGAAAACACAGCAAAAGAACAAGTCGACGGAAATCGTTAAGTACAGGACTCCCTTAACGCTCAAGCGTACCGTCGCGCCAGACACAAGAATTATTGTGACCACCGTGTAAGTAGTCAAACCTAACCTAAGAAAATCAGTTACAGCAGCTCCGACCGCGTTAGATCTAACTCGCTACTTTATCGCTCTTGCACTTACAAATTAGCCTTAACGTTCTTGCCGAGTATACGTACGGGCTTTAAATAACGGGCGTTAACGTCCAACCAGTGACACGTGTTCCGAGATGCAATTTAAGTCTGCGGGATGTGGTATGTAGTGTGAAAAATTATTTCCTCGGAAACTCCTCTCTGGAGAGATATGCACGAATGAACGAGTGAAAGAGAAACGACAGAGGACAAAGGTAAATACTGGCACAGCGTCAAATCTGTCAGATACACAGCCCCAGCTGTTACTGGTCGAATTGACGAGAGTCACCCGGTAGACTTAATCGCTCGCCTCGTACTTCGCCCGTTTCTCATGCAACGGCGAGCCATGAGAACGTTCGTGGCTACTTGGGTAAATGTCCAACCAGCCTCCCCGCGACCCCCCTCGACCACGTGTTTCGCGGTCGAGGAGTTGAGGTTCGGTGGGTCTCGTGGATGATCCCTCGAGGTCAAAGGAGGGTGTACTGGAGAAAGGGCTAAAAAGGGAGAAACAAGAGGAGGATACAAGGGAGAAAGAGGGGAAAGGGGGGGCCTGTCCTGCCACAGCAGGGACACCCCACTTGCCAGTGCCAGCTCGAGTGATTTATCATCCACCCCTCCCTGTCCTTGCTTGGCCATCCCTTTAATAGGGGCTTCCCCACCCCTGATTCGATCGCCGCCCCCCCCCC